TTCTTGAACTCAAGAGAGCCCTTGGACGGCCAGGCGACAGGTGGGCGATTGCTCTTGATGATTTCGGGGGCTTCGCTCGGCAGGCGAGCATATTCGAGAACGCGCTCAACTGACACAATGTTTGTCTCAACCTCGACGGTCTGGCGCACGATCCAGTTGAGCGATGTTGTGATTTGCAGAGCGTAAGACATGGCCAGACCGACAAGACCAGCGCTCAAGGGAATGTGGTTCGCGACTGTGCCGACGGCTAGTCCGGCAGCCGCAAGAATGACGATACCACCAATGAACTCAAGACGGACCGCAAGCCAACGATTCGCGCTGATAGATGGGAAATAAGCTTTGAGGTTGGCATCGACACGCCACTCGTTCTCCAGTTCAAACCTCTGCTGTTGGCGGTACGCTCGGATCGTCGAAATTCCTCCGAGCGATTCTTGGAAGTGGGCGTATACAGGACTTCGGGTTACGCTGTCAAGTCTCTTGAGCTCGCGAGAAGTGCGCAAGTAGTATCGCTGGATCCAGTAGTAGATCAGAGTAATTGGAATGATGAAGGCGGCGAACGGAGGAGTCGTAATCGAGATGACAGCCAAAGTGAAGCCCGACCGAGCAGCATTGACGAACAGCATGTTGAAGGTCCTGGCGAGGACCTCGTCGACCCTGTAAATGTCACTGGAGAATCTGTTGAGGATGCGACCAGTAGGTGTAGTGTCGAAGAATGACATGGGCGATCTGAAAATGGCGTTGGCCATACGTTCATGCAGCTTCCTTGACGCCTCAATTGAGCAGAAAATCCACAGGATGAGAGTTTGGATGACAGTCAAAAGGGAAGAGCCGATGCCGAAGGCGAAGTAAATCCCGATATAGTAGCCCACATGGTCGTTGGTGTGTGATTTTGCGTTTTGCTCTGACCATGTCTTGAGCCACACAGAGCCACCAATGTTGGCCGTTTGAGAAGCCAGCAGAGCACCCATGTAGATGGCGACAGCAATAAGGTTGCTGTTCTTGGCATACTCAATGTACACATTCCACTTGACCTTTCCTTGTTCAATATGCTCCTTAGTTTGCTTGGACTTGCTGCCGGCGACTTCCTCATCAGTGAGCTTGCCCCGAGGTCCCCGGAAGCTGGCGGTGCTAGCGCGGCGCAGCGTTGCCATGCTCGAAGATCGTTTCTTGTTCTTCACTGAAACGCCGGTCTTGATAGGTTCCATCTCAGGAAGCTGCTCCTGAGCCTCTTCCAACTCAGCCTTTTCTTGACTGCTGCCCTCGGCTTCGATGATTGTAGACGTTTCACTGCTGGAGCCACTGGAGTTGGCCGAAGAAGAAGGGCCTGAATCCTGGCCGGCAGTCTTGATGAGATCGTTCACCATGCCCTTCATCGCCACGAGTTGTTTGTACGTTCCACGCTCGACAATCTCGCCTTCTCTGATCATAGTGATGTAGCTGGCCTCCGTGAGCACGGCAATGGCGTTTGTGGCGAGGATTCTGGTCTTTGTGTTCAAAAGACCTCTGGGACCGAGTACATTCTCGATGATGTGTCTTCCAACGTGAGAGTCTACGGCTGACAAGACGTCATCCAGAAGGTAGATATCTGCTCTGGCGTAGACGGCGCGAGCCAAAGCCACACGCGCCTTCTGTCCACCACTCAGGGAGATACCTCTTTCACCCACAACCGTTTCGTCGCCATCGGGAAGCTGGGCAAAGTCGTCGACGAGAGCGCAAGCCTTGATGGTCTTTTCATAGAAATCGGGGTCGTATCTGTAGCCAAAGATGATGTTCTCCTTCACAGTAGCATTAAGGATCCAAGATCCCTGTGCGACATAAGCCGTGGTTCCATGGACTTCAACTTGACCCCCGACTTTCCAAAGATCGCCCAGGACGCTCTGCAAGAATGAAGACTTGCCAGCGCCAACTCTACCGACAACGCAAGAGAGTTCTCCCTTGTAGGCTGTGAAGTCAATATCCTTGAGGGCCTCCTTGTCTTCATGACGGTTCCAGGAGAAGGTTCCGTTCCGGATGATAACGGTTTCCTCTCCCATCTCTTCAGGCGCCGGCTTGATTGTAATCGCATCGGGCTGGATCTCTTCGGCTGTGAGGAAGGAGGTCAAACGGCCGACAGCGACACTCGCTTCGACGATAGAGGTAATGACCATGGGCAGAACCGCCAAGGGGAATGTGAGCAGGTTGAACAGAGCTATGTCACAAAAGTCAGCGCTTAGTACTTGAGTAGATGAACGGCATAACTTACCGAGCGCGGGGAAGACAATCTCAGTGGTCAGCGGCTTATCTTGCGTCATAACGAACACGGCAAACGTGGAACAAGACACAAAAAATGGAGCAGTACTCCATGTGAAGTTGGCGAAAGCTTGGGTTGCTCCAATCTTGCGAAGATTCTTGAGCTCGAGATCATTGCGGACGAAGTTCAGCTTGTTCATGAAAGCAGAACCCCAAGCGTAAAGCTTGATGCTCTTCATGTTGTTGATGATCTCGTTGATTAGGCGACTCCTCTTATCCTTGTTCTTCATTTGCTCTTTTTGCAAGTTCCTCATGATTCTGGCAATGAAACCATGTGCAGGCATCATGATAATCATGACACCAATACCAGCAAGCATTGACCAGCCAACAAGTTGGTACAATGACACCATGCAGATAATGATCTGGAAGGGAGCGGACCAGACCTGCTGGGCGAATTGGGTCAGATCCTGTAGACGCTGGGCATCCACGGCCATGTAGTTCACAATATCGCCAGTCGACTTGGACGCGCGTCCCTCATTGGACAGTCTCATTGATTTCTTGTAGATGGCCGATGCCAAACCACCCTTGATCCGCATTCCGGTGACGAATGCTAGCTGGAAGTATTGATGCTGGTGGGTGTTAGCGGAGCTGCGTCTTGCCTACTACTAAGATACGGAACTCACAATCATGGAAGTTTGCAAAACGGCGCACGCAAACATTGCCAAGGCAATGGAAGCACCCTTGATCGGAGGTTGCTCCTTGTCATCATTCTTAGAGTCATAGGAATCTATGAATGCAATAAGGTACTTCAGAAGTTGTGGCTGAAGATATTGCGTAACATCGTTGACAGCCTTGAAGAGCGCAGCGATGGCGTACGGACCGCCGTAGGCACGGAACATGGCCAGCCACAGAGATGGGTTCTTGCGGTGCTTCAGTTCGTACTCCCAAGCTTTGTTGAACGCCTCGCCAGTGTTCTTGGTCTGGTCTTGCTGAGCGAGCCCCCAAAGTTCATCTTCAGTCAAGTACTTCTTGTATCCATAGCGCATCAGAGGCGTCATCCAGGAGAATGTCAACTGAGAGAATACAGTGGCATATTCAATGGGGCATTCTTCCTCGTCGATCAGAGCCTCGTATGCGCTGACCTTTCTTGGCCACAGCCACTCGACCAGGAATTCAGCTATCGAGAGGCCGAAGCCGACAGTATAAGTGATAAAGTAGGCTGGGCTGGTCTCGTAGAGCTGCTGAGAAATCAAGGATCGGAGCTTGACTGCGTATGCGATCAAGAGGAAGAGCCAGTAGAAGAGGACGACGCCGTTGGGGTTACGCAGGCGCGCATGCTCGAGCCATTGAATGGCAAAGACAACGCCCAGAGATAGGATTGTCGCAGCTGTTGTCCAAAATCGGAAGTCGCCAAACCAGACGTCGGGGTAGCTGACAATTTGTAAAGCGAGTTGTACTGTTACGTCGGCAATGATCAATCCGAGAAGTGTCTGGAGGGGCGGCTGGTCAGCTCCGGAGTCAGAAACAAGATAAGAGAGCACTCACCTGCTTAACCCAAAAATGCCAGTCCTTCGGCGCATCGGAAGGTTTTCTGCGTTGAATGAGCCATACAATGGCCAAGGATCCAAAGACGAGACCAAATGCTGCGACTGAGGCAATCCAAACATCGATGAAGCAGGGTGTAAAGTCATATCGAATAGGGCTCAGCGGACCCCAGCCCTCTTCGTTACCGCATAGCGGTTGCTTGATCTCTGCAGTCGCAGAAAGATAATTGCTACCGAGCTGTCCCAGGCGATGGAATCCGGTGAACGAGCCCGTGTGCAGAATGCGCTGCGGCGAGTAGTCGGAGTAATCCATGGCAATTGGTCTTCTGCGGTTCCCCCAACCCGCCTGTTAACGCATGCTAGAGTGAAGCTACTATTCGGGAGGAGAGTTATCGGTCGGTCGTGGGGCGTCTCGTAGGGGTGATTTGGACTGATCGGGATTATCGAGCAGTGCAATCCGACGTGTACACCAGAAGAGGAATCAGGGAATTGTCACGGGGGCGACGCTGGCGACGTGGGAAAAGTTTTGAAGGCGGACGACCGAGTCGGAGCAAATGCATGCGACGTACCGTGAAGTAGACGGAGAGGTGTGGTGGAGGCGGGTCGGTCTTGCTCTTGTGGTTCCAGAGTGCGAGTGACGCTGCTGCCCTCCACAAGTCCGCTGCACGGTTTGTCAGCTTTTGGGCGCTGGGCCCTGGGGAAAGAAGCACCTGGCACCTCACAATCACAGTCACTGGTGTCTCACACATTTTCGGGTTCGGAGAGCCACCCGCGGCTTACCCAACCACAGGGCTCACCGCAGTTTAGCTCACGGAAAGGTGGGGAGCTATGACGACCTGCATTGTAGCCTTGTCCCGCATTCGGCTTTTTCGCGATACATGTCCGGTACCTCCGATGCATGCACAACTCAGTGCTCGCAGGGCCATCACTCGCTACTATCATGGAGTAGGGGACATGTTCCCTGTAAACGAGGGTCGCGCGTGTCAGCGTCTTGCATCTCACTCTCTCAGATAAGACGCTCGGATAGCTCAGTCCGGCACCAAGTGCCGCGTATTGCCGTATATTGCGTGCACCGCTTACCGCATCCTACTTCACCTTGGGTCCTTCGTCTGCAGAAAGGATGCGATAGCGGAGCTTTTACCGTAGCTCTGGTAGCTCACCTTACATAAGCAAGCATTGGGAGACTGAGGTGTCACAACTCACAAGCTTTGTTTCCCCGGATGGCCAAGACAGAAACACATTGCGGGACGTTGCATGCAACATTGCTTTTGTTATTTCCCCGATCCGTGACATTCAGAGTTCCGTGAAACCTTTGGCTCTGTAGACAACTCTTTCGCGTTTATCGCGATGCGCTCGTCGCGAGTTTCAACCGCCCTCTGTTTCCCGCGACTCATGCCCAACCATGAAACATTCAAACGGACATGGTTATCATGGTTTCCGGATGTGGTGACTACTGACACTCCCATCTGGCTGGAGAGCCACATCACGACGCCACCGAGCGCTCCTCCGCCGGGCAGCTAATCTGCCTACCTTCCTAAAGTCTTTTGCCAGCCTAGGTTTGGTGAGTCCGGAATCACGAGGTCAATCAACACACACTTGTTTTGCATTCTCTGGAACGGCGGGCTCAAGAAGTCCAATGCCATCCAAAAGGTTTCGCTTTTCGTATCCCATGAACTGCTAGATGGCGTCACTACATCCGTCTTCAGTCTTTCTCTAGTTTTGCTCTATTTCGAGATTATTCATAGGCAAATATAAGGGATTTAAGGTCGGATAATTAGACTACAAGTATTCGCTATTAAAGTACGTACCTATGTATCGACGCCATCTAGCAGTTGATGGGATACAGTCGATACCTGGTTCCAGAGCAGCGATGGAATCTAATAGAACCCGTTGCGGATCAAACATGTCTTACCCCGTTTCGCGGCGTTTTCGCGGGGCAATTGACCACCTGCAACCAGAAGTGTCAGGCTTTTAAACAATCTCGAGAGAGAAGATGCCCCCACGCTCACCCTACCACGCCGGGCCGTACCTTGCTGTCCGGCACCGCAATGTGTATGGCCTCATCCCATACCCTCCAAAAAGAAGCTTTGGAGGTTCCACGGCTCTCTAGAGCACTTCGTGGCCGAGTCAGCTTGCAGCTATCAGCGCAATCGGGGCCGATGTTCTATCCGTGGCAACATAAGGGAGTCTTTCTCAGTCAACCCAACTTTGGGTCATTATTGAATCGAGGCTGATGGCTTCGACCACACGAGTTCCATTATGCCAGCAGAGTGGGAAACGCATCTTCGTTTCCCCAAAAGTTCGAACCTGCCGTTCCACCAAGGGGTATGGGAAATAGCCTCTGGAGACATCTATGGACTTGACTATGGATTGACGCTGATTCCTACCGAGGAAAAGATCCCAAAGTGTGTCTTGAGCAAAACATTCATGTCATCTCCCGAGCCGCGCCTCACGGGTACTCATCCATTATCGTGAAAAACATTGACTTGTGCCTTTTGGTCCTTGACAACAAGATTCGAATAGATGAGAACAATGGTATGATTGGCGGCATCAGATCACGTTGAAAGCTGGTCGTGTACAATGACTTTGTCCGAGTCCCGCGTCTTTCACGGCTTTCATTTTCCTTGTCTTCCTGGTCTTCGAATATATCTCCAGAACTTAGTTGCAAGGGCGAACAAAACTATACAGGATCTACGGATGGTGTCCATTTAAGGTTACTTGTTCCCCTGTTCCCCTCGCTTTCTTTTCCCAATAGACACTGCCGTCGATCTCTGGTGTCACCGAAGAAAATCCAGAAATCTCTCCCGCTCGCCTTTCAACTACCTGATTTACACCTGGACTTTACACAAGTTTCGCCAATAATCCAACAACCGTCTTTGTCCGCGCCGTCTTCGTTCACGACAACTGTCTAAAGCAACAACAATAATGGACTTCCTCTCGCGAGAAGAATTACTAAGGTACCGTACGCTCACCCAAATTCTGTCTTTAACAAATGACTTGCCCATCGAGTACCCGTCCAGTCTAGGCCTTCTCAGGGGTGGAAAGGGGACCTTGTCTTCCGATGCTTACCCTTACTTGTTCGCCTTCGCCCAACTCATCCCATACAAGAATGAGGTCGCTACCACTATTTTCAACATTGGAGACCGTACAAAACCCCCACGCGTTGTTGTCTTAGGCAACGTTCCCGCACATGCAACGGCATCCCAGACTGCATCCAGGGAGACTCGCCAGAGCCAACTGCTGTGCAGAAAGACACAACTAACGGGCAAAGTGCTTCCGCCGTGTCCGGATGCAGCAGCGCAGTATTACGTTGACATGATCGAGAAGACGGCCGAAGATGGGAAGCTGCGGTCGAGGATAACGTTCTCGGTACACGTGGATAGCCTCGTTGGCATGCTGAGGCAGACTCGCATAGCTCAGACTAACGACGAACTGGACATTCCTGCCGAAAACTTACTCGACTACCTTGCCATTCTGAGCTGTGAGAAGATTCACAATCGATTGTTTCAAAGTCGCCCAAGCGTTTGTGGAAAGGGCAGAGAGTCTCTAGAAACGAGAAGAGAGGCTGCTAAGCCGGCTTTGAACAGGAAATTCTACACCATTCTCACCCAGGACATCTCCTATTGTAGATGGGCCTTTGAGGACCGTTCCCTTCCGCCGGTAAAACCTCTCACACGGTGTCAAAATCATATTTTGAGAATTGTCGTGAACTTCCTCCAACAACATCGACGAGACCCCAAACTTGAAAACTATCCAAGAATAGGTGCGGCATGGTATGATGCTACTGGGAGAGTGACCTTCCACCACATCATCACACGCCTTCTCGATGGATTGGCTATAGCAGTCGAAGACTTGTTGAAGCAAAAGTGGGATTGCCACCGCAGAAAGACCGATATCCTCTTAGGTATTGGATCCACAGAGCCCGACGTTTCTAGCCTCCAACGTGCCGCTGTACAGTTATCTGATTGGACACATCACCTGTCCCAGCTTCGCCTCGGGTTCAATAAGATACTGCCTCATCATTTCAAATGGCTAGAACGTGAACTTTGTCGGAATGACTCCGACCTCTTCAACGAGGAGACCTCAACTTCAGACACCGAATCTAGTTCCTCGGACGACACCGTCGAAGACTTTTCGGGGGCATTGGAGGCTGAAGAACGACTCGACAAGGGGAATCCAGAATACTCCTCAGATCTCGTCAAATTGGCTGAGCTTTCACAAGATGATTGGGCAAATGGAGCCGTCAACTACCTGCGTCTCGTTCTCAGGGATACCTCCGCACATGTCGAACTTGACAGGGTGGAAATCTGTGAGGAGCCAAACTGGAGGGAGTACATGTCGCATATCATGAGAAAGGGCGAATTTCATCTGATCGAAGTCAGTTCAGAATATGACGACCATAAGATGACATCCATCAGAAAGCTTCTAGATGAAGAATTCGGTTCTGCTGGCGAAGAAGACCCAGGGCACCCTGAACCCCTGAGAGAGATCCTAGAATGGATCAACTCGAAAACAAAGAGCACCAATCTCATGATAGGCGAGTACAACTTCGACAGTACCTATTTCAGTGGCGGATACCACTGCGAAGGTACGATGCTCTGCTTGCAGCTCCTCGCCAGAGTCAGAGACAACCTCAGTCCAGCTTCGATAAACAGCGGCATGATCCTCCCGGAAAACGAGGTCACGGATCTATTTCAGGACGGCATTGCCATCATGCCTTCGAGTAGGCTATGCTGTCCTTCCTGCACTCACCTTCTCCAGTACTTCTACTACCACCACCGCCGCCGTACCCAGCCCATCTGGGGAAGCGAGACCCACAAAGATTGGGTTCCTTGTTCACTGCCGCCGTGGATTCCCAGGAAGGCGGGAGAATGGATGCTGGCTCAAGCTAGCAACGCCTTGAAGCAGCGACTGGAAGGTATCATTGACGCCATGGAAGAGTCTAGGGCCGATGATGCCTTTCAGGCGTTGCTTCAGAGCTTGTGAATTGCCCGCGAGTTCGATCTGGAGTAGTCCAAGATAACACCGGAAATGAGTGTGAGCAGGTTTTAGGTAATACTAATAGTAGGTTGCAGTTCGGCGCCACCATATCTGTGATATCCACTGGGATTTCCTTTCTTCGCCAAGCAATGTATATCGCTTCATCACTGGATATCTAGTCTTGAGCGTGTCAGTCATACTTCATCGTTAGGGAAAGCATTAGTAGAGCGCAGCAGCTAAATAGTTCATTCTAAAGTTGATGCTATGTGTGCCCTTGCTACTTATTTCAGTACCAAGTTCTGCCTTGGGCTAACAACCGTACGGTACGCCATGATTCTACAAGACCCTTACATGTTCCCTCTTGTTCTGATGTAATCCCAAAGTAGCGTTGGATTATACTCTTAGTGCTTCACAACTTGCATTGCCGCATATCTCCAATACCTAGCTTCCGAAAATATGCGCAGCTGCTTCCCTTTCCAGATAATGATCAGGAACGACACACCCGTCAAGAAAGAGATGATTGCAACCACGATAAACGTTTTCTGCAATCCTGCACCATCGATCCAAGGCGTGATGGCATAGCTGAACCCAAAGGTGAGCGTATTGCGACACAAGATGAGTGAAACGATTGACTCGCCAGCAATCTCCTTGAAGGCATCAACCGAATACGTGATGGAATACGTCCCTCCAGTCACAATCCCAAAGCCGCAGAAAACGGATCCCAGCATCAGGACACCTATGGGCAGCGAAAAGGCAGCTCCGACTCCCCATAACAGTAGTCCTAGCGGCAAGATGATTGCAGTCAACGACATTCCCCACAAACGGTGCTCTGGCTCGCGAAATCCCTTGTTCCGGCGTGCCAACCTCATGCTGAAGGAATCTGATACCGGGCCTGAGACGTAACCGCCGATCAAAGCCCCGAGAAGTGGAGCAAGGTAGGTAACGCCTACCATTGATGCACGATATGAATAAGGCTGCGATGAAAGTATCGAGGATGCAGTGGCGTTGTAAACGGAATACCTAGTAACTATGTCAGACTTTGAGCCTAAGCCGAGTCATTGAAATAGATCAGTTGGTCAACATACCAGGCGTTTGTGAACCCATATTGTAGTCCCGCCCATGCAATGCAGGGAAACTGGAAGAAGATGAAGATTGGCCGATATGCGATGCGCAAGCATTGCTTGAAGGTGAGACCACTGCGGGTATACAATGCCTGCTTTTGGCGATAGGATTTGACCGTGTAAGTTTCTCCCATAGACTCATCTCTGTTATTGGCGATTCCAGTTGACGTTGCTTTTTCATCGTCCGCAGGTTCACGAGTATCGACGGTGGTCTGAATGACGGGCGAGTTCCCAACTCTAGCCGTGTCGGAATGCCTAGGCTCTTCATTCGATGGCGGATCAACGTCTACTTCAGCAGTCTGTCTCTCAAACATGGACTCTTCCTGGAAGAACAAGGCCAATATGAGATTCAAAGCAAAGAAGATGGCGCAAACGTGCTGAACCCATTGCCACCCGAGTGCGTCGTTGATAAATCCCGACACAAAGGGGGCGAAAAAGTTGCTTCCTTGCAAAACCATCGAGTAGATGCCGACGTATGCTCCGCGCTCGTGCGCAAAAAACGTGTCGGGAATGCTGATCTCAGGAAGAACCTCACAAGGCCCGACGAAGAACCTCACAAGGCCCGACGAAGAACCCGTACAGGATACGGCCCGCAGTCCACGCAGCAAAGGAATCGGTCCAAGCGGTCCATTCTGATATGATCAGACAGCCGAGAAGGCTGGCGAGGAAGACTGGTCTGCGACCAAACGTGAGTGCCAGAGGTTGCCAAAAGCAGTTTCCCCATCCGGCTAGCAGAAAGATCAAGCCGGTGCCGAGGTTGAGTTGGGTCAAGGTGATGTTGGTGTCTCGAGAAATGTCGGTCAAAACAGAGTATGTGGCGGTGCCACCGTAACCACACGTAAAGGTGTATAAGTAGATGAGACAAATATGAATAGTCTTGCGGCTTTTTGACCAATTCAGTGGGTTATCTGGGTGTTTGGATGGCTGTGGCACAAGGATGACTTCGTCGGCCCCGGCACCGTGGCTGTCGGTGTGGAGGAGATGAACGGTTCCTGGTGGAAGTGCTCGCATGCCAGAGTCGACGCCGTTTTCCATGATTTCGGTAGTAATAAGTTGCTTGGGTTCGGAAGTTATCGGGTCTGAATAGTCCTCCTATTTCGATCATATTCTTGCGGCCTCCGGCTCTGTCTATAATGGTGCGATTCTGACTTTCCCCGGCCAAGTTCTTATCTTTGAAGTTGGTCATTCCATCTTTTGGGTCATTATATCGCAAATTCAATTCAAGATAGGAGATTAGACAAAAGATACGGACTGTTGTGACAGCTTCGCGAGCCCTGGTACTACTTCACGGATCCAGTCTTGGGTGCCAAGTCCTTATCTCTGAACCAGATCACCGTATCGTGGTTGCCATTCTCACACTGGATTAAGGGGATATGACATGACTGAAAGACGCAGATGGTAAGGATTCTTACAACAGTCTTGCTTAGAGCCTTGATCAGGGAGGATGGTCGTCCCAGATTCCCAGCCTAGGGCTGTTTGATACCCTTCCTAATTAGGCAACCAACCTAATCACCCTGACATTCTGGCAATTGTCGATTGATAGGATGGCATGATGGGTTGGAGAACAGTCTAAAAGCGCTTATGGATTCTTAAGCTTACCAGCTGATTTGATTACTTTCCTAAATAAGGTTAATTCAACCTGGCTACTAAGTAGAACGCGCCCGATATGCAATGCCGCTATTCATGCGACAATTGAGTGGCGCCCCACCTTGTTGCCATTGAGCTCAACTCATGCCTGTTTGAACAACGGAGGCAATTGTTTCCGTGACTTGTGTTTCTACATTTCCTGAGACTTTACCAAATATCTTTTCAGACCGTCTCCCTTTATCTACCGTATGAGGTCAACATCACCTTGCTCTTTGGTTGCTTTCCCATTTGGGCGATTTTGAACCTTGACCACTTCCTAATCACGAAATGTCTCAAACTCTGGAGAAAAAGGGACGTGGGAGGCCCCGCGGCATTCGCCACGATCGGGATTGCGCGACCTGCAAGGCCCGCGGCGTCAAATGCGACTTGAACCGGCCGAGCTGCGGACAGTGTATCAGCCATGATGTGCCCTGCGAGGGCTACAAGCAACGAGTTGTTTGGAGGGCATCTCATTCCACGAACGTGCCGCCTCCCAAGGTTCCAGACCACCGGCCTTTGACCGCCAGCCCAATTTTGATCGATAATCAACCTTGCGCGACGGCATCTATGCGGAATATACCCTCGAAATATAAGCAAGTTGAAGTCGATGATTCGAACTGGACCACTCATTATTTCAAGTATCTTAATCACTTTCGTCAGAAGATGGATCATATTCAGACCGACGCCCAGCAACAAGGCAATGCCAGAACCCACGATTCTCTGTCCAGCATATGGTATTTTGCATGGAAGCGAATGACACAGACCATTCCCGTGGACGATGAGTCGCATGTGGAATATGCCTTGTGTCATACTGCTGCTGTAGAGGCACTCCTTCAATCTGTGGACCAAGAGGGGATCAAAGCCATCTTCGGGATCGCCACCTTTGCCTTCATCGACGTCTACAAGGAACCCTTCGCAGCCTGGTCGCGGCATCTGAGAGGAGCTAGGGCGGTTCTCGACCTGCATAGCCCGGCACCTGAACGTTTTGCAGAGCTCTGCTCTGAAATTAATGGTCTTCAGGAGGTTGTATCTCTTCTTTGCTGGTACGATATTACCGGGTTGATGATTAGGCGAGATCGAGGACTAATATTTGAGGATTGGCATCGAGATTTTATGGAAGATAATCTGTTTGAGCTTGTGGGCTGTCCAAAAGACGTATTTCAAATATTCACACCAATCGTGAAGGAGGGCTTCGAATGCGAATCGAGGCACCCTGACCTGTACGTTGCTGCAACGAAACAGCTGCTCAAGACATCACGTGGTAGTCACGATCACGGAGACCTTCTGCGGGACGCTTGGAGATACTCCACGGTAATGGCAATCTATGAAGCGGAGTTCAGTGTGAAAAAGACCAGCTTTGAAGCTATCATGCATGAACTGGCAGACCGGATCTGCGACATCCTACAGGCTATACCGGCGAAATCGGCGAAGTATCGTCATTTGCCATTTGCTGCTTTCATAGTTGGCCGTCTTTCCCAGTCTTCGCATCATTCTAAGATTGCCCAAAGGTACTGGGAGATATGCAATTCTCTGGAAGATCCAATATACCCCAGCGGCGAGCGTATGTATAGGACTGATCGTTGAGTCTACATAGCCACTTTAGGTAGCTGTAGGGGTAAGTGGTATCAGCTTACGGTATTGATAGTCTGGCTTGGCGGTTATCACGCAAGTAAACCGAATGTCACTTATCAGAGGGATCTCAGGGTGGATATTGTTACTTGACAGCATTTTAATTGCAATCATAACCCACCGTACTTCTGGATTACATATTTAGCCCCTATGTTTTGCCTCTTGTATTTCTCTAGCAAACTTGCTTCTTGAACGAATACTAGGGCCGTACTTGATGAACACAAATGGTACGGCCGCTAGAAACAGTCCACAGATACCGAGAAGAGTGCTCGCCCATCCGACACCCAACGTCTTGTACATTCTCCTGCCAGCAAGAGGCAGCAAAGCGCCAAAGATGCTTCGACACGTCGAAGCCACGCCATGCGCAGAGGCCGCATAAATCGCATAGGCGTCCGTGATATAATTCAACATGGCAATGAAGATCCTCACAAATCCTATGCCAAAGAGAATGCCTGAGAGAGCAGGGACAACCCAGTGTATGTCCGACCGACAAGTCCAGCCAAGCCAGAACACTGGCAACCACGAAGATGGGTCCACCAGCGCAAGCAAGTGGCAAACGCCGCATTTCCTCCTTCTTTGTCCATGGCTTTCCAAATTTGAGACTTCTTTCAAGGTATATATCCCAGAGCACATAAAAAACGCCAGACAGAAGAGCCCCGACCCCAATTGGCAAGAATGCCAGGCCAGTGGTCCGAGTGCTGAGCTTGTAGATACTATCCGAGCCTTGGAATATGACCGGGTATGCCTGAAGATACAGGTAGAAGATGCTGTAAACGAAGCTCAGTTAGAGGCATGTGAACATCAAGATGCTCTCTGAGAACAACATTGGAAATGATTTCGTGAATGTAGCCAGAGAGAGGTGGCGCCCAGTCCCCTTCTTGATTTCTGATCCAGAGGAACCCAGATCAGTTTCCGGACAGCCGTGGTTAGCGTCTAAAATCCCCTTTTCTTGGAGGACCGGAACAGAAGTCTCCGGTAGCCAAAGAACGAGAGGGAGTGTTGATCCGGCCAGGATCAGACTAACCCAGTACGACCAACGCCATGAAATGGGAGAGACACAACCTGTGATGATAGGCCCCAGACATGGTCCGAGATTGGTGACCTGAGATACCCAAGTAAGCAGATGTAGATAGCTCGTGATGGTAAGCAACATCACTTGGGGAATAACACTTACGGCCATCAGCAATGCAATGCACCAGCCACGCTCACGTGGGGTTGAGTACATGTCTGCGTAGACACCTCCAACGATGGCGACAGGGGCAGCAGCATTCGTCCCATAGAGCAGCCGGAACACCAGCAGCGCCGGAAAGGAAGGTGCAAGAGCACACGCAAGTGTGAAGATAATGTAGAGGACAAAGGTAGCGAGTAATACAGGCCTGCGACCTTTGACCTCACTCATTGGCCCAAGAAAAGCTGGCCCTAGTACGAATCCAACGAGGTAAATGGATACCGGAAGAACCAACCGGAGGTCTGTTGTCTCCGGGAAAGCCAATCTTATCGAGTTGCCTGCATTGCCGGGTAACGAGGAGCTGATGGTGCTGTGCATGACCATGAGCAAGCCAGTAATGATGACAAGTATCTTCCTCCACTGCGCAGATAGTGTTAGTATGGATATAATGCTCGGAAAGGGAATCGTATACTACATTTGGCCAGTCACGTGGATGAAAATTGGCATTGGTGCGTGGGGTCACGGCATTGTGCTCGTCAAGCCCGCAACTCAGCATGTTTTCGGGGTCATCAAGCATCGTGGGTATGCTTTCTTTCAGTATCTGAGAAATGACATGGTGGCTATTGACATCAAGACGCCCAATGCTTTTATTTGAGGGAGTGAGTAGAACCATGATTCAGGTCACTATTCGCGAACTTTCGAACATCTCTAGTGCTGTTGATTTCCAATATTAATTCCACTCGGGAAACAGGAAAGCCACAGAAGTTCTATCATGTCTCCCAGTTGCCCTTGATTTAGATTCCCTTCCTCATTCGGCAATGCCTCCAGCCGAGTAAAAGTGGGTTCGTGGAGAGGTTCAAGGATGAGAGTCGTTGAGCCGTAAGGACACTACTCGATACGGCATTTGGGGTGCTGACCGGCAAACTTATCCGTATGAAGCGACGACTAACATATCTCTACAATCAAATATCCATGCGAGGTTGGGCTAAGATGTCTTTCTGAAGGTGGGCTGGCAATTTTGAATTTGTCATAACTTCCGTCAGGTTTTGCTTTGAGATGTGCTAAGATGCTCTGACATGCCATGTCGTCACCTTATCGCGCCTTTGGGGATTCGGTTCAGGTACCTTTTATTGAATGTTTTCTTATCGTATAATCGATGTGGATTGGTCCACCTATCACCTTTATCATGAGATACCTGCTGTGTTTCGGTAGGCAGTCCTCTGAAAGGCTGGGCCTTTTCCATAGATTGCTTTCCTCTTCTGGTTGATTCATCTCGTACCAAATGTGGCAATGAAGTCGAAATCAGATAGCCTACTTGCTTTACCCCCCGAGTGCGGAAGACATACGACGAAGATACACGACAAGGATGTGGGTATGGGTCAGTTGTACGATAAGCCTGCCACTACTAATAAACAGTTTGGTATCAAGCATGATTGAACGCACCTCACATAGGCTTGTTTGATTCATAATTCAACTCTACCCGGCAATGATCCCTCAAAGTCAGGCTGACGATTTACGTAAGATGCAAGACCAGCCATCGACCTCAGATCGTGGCTGTCCTACAGGATGGCTTCCAGCAGATGCTGTGATCGATGCACAAACATCGAAACCGCCATGGAAACTAAGTGCTGCGCAGAAGCGAGCAGAGCAATACGCCGCTATTCCCATTGAATGGCGTATCGACCAAGCTGCTCCTCCACCCAAAGACACGGACGCTTTCCTTCGTTTCTCTGGGCTTTTGACAGCGGAAGACCTTGCTTGTACGGAGATTGAGGATGTTCGAGTCTTGCTCGAGCAGATCGCAACTCGAAAACTGAGCGCTGTTCAAGTCCTCAAGGCATTCGCGAAGCGAGCAGCCATAGCTCAGCAGCTGGTGGGATGTTGCACGGAGATCATGTTTGCAGAGGCACTCGAGCGAGCCAGGGCCCTAGATGACCATCTGGAGCGGACAGGCTCGGTAGTTGGGCCTTTGCATGGACTCCCGGTATCCCTCAAGGACATATTTGATGTCAAAGGAGTCGACTCTACCATCGGTAAGCTGTCAGATGCAGGATTTCAGTGCGATACTAACAATGTTAAGGCTGGGTCGGACTCATTGGGAAGCCAGCGAAATCAAACGGCGTCTTAACAGACGTTCTCATCGCTCAAGGCGCTGTGCCTTTTGTCAAGACGAATATTGCGCAGGCTCTCATGGTGAGATTTTACGTCCTTGCACATCGTGCACTTTCAAAAGATCGTGGTTTAATTAGAACGTTAGCTTTCGGACTCATACAACCATGTTTTCAAGCAATCTTTGAACTCTCTCAACCGCGAGCTGATCTCTGGTGGCAGCTCGGGTGGTGAAGCGGCACTCATAGGTTGTCATGGTAGCCTGGTCGGGGTCGGGACAGACACCGGCGGCTCCATACGTATTCCGGCAGTTCTGCAAGGATTGTACGGATTGAAACCGACTGTTGGGCGAATACCGTTCGATGAGTCGAGGTAAGTCACTTCCCCGCAGGGTTCAATCGTTTGTGTCTTGGAAGTATCGTTGACTGACAAGAGTGGCGCGGCAGCAAATGGGAGTTTCTTGCACCTCCGGTGGCAGGTCCTCTGGCTTCCAGCCTCTCGACGATAGAAACCTTTATGGATGGCATCTTATCTTGTGAGCCCTGGCGACAGGATCCGACTTTGCTGCCCATTCCGTGGCGCAAGGAGCTCGCGGCCAAGCCTGACAGGCCCCTCAAGATCGGGTATTACATCAATGACAATATCGTCCGTGTACAGCCGCCTATTGAAATGGCGATACTGGCTGTTGTTGATAGCCTCAAGGCTGCAGGACATAGTTGTAAGTGCTGCACAGTGCTTGTTCTAATGTGCCTACATGCTAACACATATGTATGCAGTGATCGAATGGGATCCCACCTCTCATGCTGAAGCTTGCAAGGGTTGGGTAACCGCCACATTCGCTGATGGCGGTGAAATCCACAGGAAGCTGAGTGAGGCCAGCGGAGAGCCGCTAGTGAAAGGGCTTCTCGTTGGAACCGAGAAGGACATACTCTCGGTTGCAGAGTCTCGCGATGTAAGTCAACCCAAGTGCATATGACGCGCACTCCTCGACTAACTGAAGTTGTACAGCTGGCTGCCAAGAAGCTCAGATATGAGAAAGACTACCTCAAGCGCTGGAATGACGCGGGTATTGACGCCCTCATTACGCCGGTGGCACCCTGGGTTGGGAAGAGACCCAGAGTGTGGGCCGGGTCAAAGCCTCACGTCGGATATACATCGCACTGGAACTGGCTTGATTATGCAGCCTTAACGATCCCCGTTATGCGAGCTGAAAGCAGTAGTGCATCGAGCCGGCAATGGTCAGATCATGTCCCATGGAATGAGAGCGACGAGATGAACTATCAGCTGTGTGAGTATTTCCCCAATCACGATCCACAAAAGTCTGTGTATTCTGATACGCCGTAGATGATTTTGATCTGATTCGCGGCATGCCGGTTGGTGTGCAGATTATTGGAGGAAAGTATGGCGAGGAAAAGTGTGTCTCCGTCGCCAAAGTTGTGAAGGATGTTCTGGAGGTGAAAAAAAGTTTCGAGAAGCGCACATAACAATGCAGTAGTCTGAAAATCATCACTTTACCGAAGCTAATGAGAGCCTGGCTACTACGAGGCAAGCAAGAGATGAAAACTCACAAATGTCTCTTCCATCTTGCCCATGACCGTCTGTCTGGTATCTGCCTATCTGATTGCACCTTGCGGAGGTGAAGACGATGAGCTGATGCTTTGTCACCGCTGTCGCGTGAATCGAAGGGAATCCTCGAGTTACGGCAGTGTTCTATAGTGGAAAAAGATGAGCGATGATATCGGACCCCTTGGAGCAGATATCGTGAGCGGGCATGTTGGTGTTTTCCCCCGCGAGTGGTGTCAGGACACAAACGTCAGGCAAGTGTCGTGCAGAGTAAGGTGCCTGCCTACCTTATCTGTACACTCACTTTAGCTTGATAAGATAGACGACGTTGCAGTCCGCTGAGCCTCAAGATACGAAGGGAAAGGTACCTGCCTTCCTTGTCCGGGGAAGGCGGGCTATCGGTGGATTTAACCTTATCTCGCAGGAGTGGCAGGAATGACCCAGGCACGCGGGATGCCAAGACCCGCAAGCAGGAAATCATCAATACCGCACGAGATAAGATAAGCTAAAATCCGACGACGTCAACGGTCAACTCAGACCGACCCCTCCACCAACTGCTTGCTCCGAACTGCATACAACTACAAACTAGCGACAAGTGTCCTTTCGACAGATTATCTGGTCACCGCGTGCTGGCGAAAACTTCGCGATGACCAGTTCGCCAGTATCGCCGCGACGGCGACACATCCTTTCGTCTGTCAATCCTGGCGAGAGTCACGAGAACACACCAGAGCCAACTGAGCGCAAGTCGTCGCCTGATCCAACAAGAGACGCAGACGCAGAAGCGCGGGCAGAAACAGGCGACGGCGAAAACCTGCGACCTAGATCATCCCGCATCCGATTAAAATCCAAACATTCAAAGTCGAGCCGATCGCATCGTCACCGCGATCGCGACCGCGGGCACGATCCAGACGCTGACGATGACGAGTCCCGCTCGGAGTACCGCCACCGCCGCCACCACCAAAGCAGCCGGCGACATCGCAGACGATCACGATCCCCGACACCACCGAACCCCTACGAACCCCAGGCTCTCGACCCGGATGCCGCGTTCCGCGAGTCCCTCTTTGATGCGATGGCGGACGACGAGGGCGCGGCATACTGGCAGGGCGTCTACGGGCAGCCGATACACGTCTACTCCAACGAGCGCCCAGGCCCAGAGGGCGAGCTAGAGCGGATGACGGACGAAGAATACTCCCAGCATGTCAGGCAGAAGATGTGGGAGAAGACACACCAAGGCTTAATAGAAGAGAGGGCCCGCCGGGAAGAAGCACGGAAACGCAAAAAGGAAGAGGAGAAGGTCAACAGGAAGCTGCAAGAGGATATGGAGCGAAGTTTGCGCCGCGGAGAGGAGCGGCGTAAGAAGAGAGCCTGGGTCCAACTCTGGGAAGACTACGCGCGAGGCTGGTCAGAGTGGGCCAACAACGTGGACAAGATCCCCTGGCCTGTAGAAAGCGGTCAACGGCGAGACATCAACGAAAAGGAAGTCCGACGGTTTATTGTCAACGGGCTCGGGCTGGAGGACATTGGCGAGAAGGAGTTTGCTGCAAAGCTACGCGAGGAGCGCGTACGGTGGCATCCTGACAAGATGCAGCAGAAGCTTGGCGGACAGGTGGACGACGCGGTCATGAAGGATATTACGGCAATTTTCCAAATCATTGATAAGTTATGGGCAGATACCCGGTCGAAGGCGTAGTTGAGAACAGTTTGTGCCCAACACAGCCCTTCCTTCGACCATCAGATTATTAGACGGCGCAATGAGAAATAGTAAAAGAGTTTTAGGCACGCGTTGTTTGACTGTCTCAGGAAGCCTGGGTGCGATCACGATCGAAAGCAATCGTATGTTCCACTTTGCTTTTCAAACGGTGAAACACTGGGCGAGGCAGTGTGGCGGGAGCTGATATGCACCATTGCTTGCCTTACCAGGGCTTGCCTCATCTGGAGGGTGACTGGCTACGGCGTTTGCACTAGTAGATGTGCATGGTGCGGATACGAATCATGGTGCAGGACAAGCGTAGCTTGCTGCGACCTGAATCTGTTGGAGCAAAGCGCCATCTTTTCGGGGTATCAAACAATCCCGTATTGCATCTTATTCCCCAACGACAACAGCCACGCCGTGTGATAGCTAAACTGAGATAGGAGGAGATTAAATTTGCCGCCCACTAAAGCAACGCGCTCTGAGACGATGATAGTTCGCGTAGTCTACTTCCAAGGCATAAATGTTTCACTGCGCAAGAGGCATACGTTCACGGCGTGAAAAATCTGTTGTTGAATATACAATTGATGTTGATTGATGTACAATTCGTACTGGTATTACATCTTCATATCTCTGATAATCCCAAAAAAGCCCAAACAATGCTGTGTAGTAACCTTTACCACGCACCGGAGAATCCAATCGTTTCCGCTAAGCCATGTTTCCCGTGATCATAGTCTTTTATATCCCATAATTTACAAGTTGGCAACGAGAGCGGCACCACCGAAGAGGGCACCGAGAGCAACGGCAGCAGTCTGGGCGGGGGCAGCGCCAGGGGCAGAGGTGCTCTGAGCAGAGGCAACACTGGAGGCGGCGGAGGCAGCCTTGCTGGAGACGGAGGCGATCTTGGAGGAGATGGAAGCGGAGCCGGCGGCGTCGGTGGCGGAGGTGAGGGCCTCGCTCAGGGAAGAGGCCTCGGCGCCAGCGGAGGAGGTGATGGAGGCGATGGCCGAGGAAGCGGCGCCGGCGGCGGAGGAGGCACCGCTCAGGATGGAAGAGGCCTCAGAGGCGAGGGCGCTTGAGGCAGAGCCGATGAGGGAGCTGACCTGGGAGGCGCCGGGGACGGCGGGGGTGGTGGAGGAAGCGTCCTGGGCCTGCGTGGAAGTTTGTAAGCATGTTGGTTAGAGGTCATTGGTGAGGATGGTATCAACTTACGGCAACCAAGGAGACCAGGGCGAAGACGGTGGCGGCGGAGAAACGCATTTTGGCTGATTTGAAGTTGTTGGGTTTGGTGTTAAAGATTGAAGTTATTGAATTAGGTATTGGGTAATCGAAGACTGGATACTTGTATAAGATTGGGTTGATTGGATGGAGTGGAGGGAAGGGAGACGACTGGAAGATGGGCTGATGGACAGAGGTCTTATATATCTTCTGATGAGACCATCCAGACAGGAGCGAGAGGGCCAAGCCTAGCCCGCCTGTCCCCGTTCGTTCTCTCACTCACCTCTCTTCATCTCTCATCATCTCACGCCCCCCTGCCCCCCAATGGACCGTTCGTCATTCACGTACAGACCACACACCCACACCCCTCCCCCATTGCGCCGAGAGAAGCCAGGCACCACCACAAGAATCCTCCACCAGACGCCGGGCACGCAAGCCTAGCACAACGTATACTTGGCGCGTTGGTGTGTTTTGGTAGGCATGGGGAGGTACTCCTCGTCTCGGGCGGTGCGATGATGGGATTCCTTTCTCCCGTTTTCGCCTCCATTCGTTTGGCCAAGAGGCGGAACCAGGGGGTGGAGGTCAGTTCCATGGAGGCTAAGGAGGTACTTGGTTACTATGTAGGTTAGGTTGGTGCTAGTCTAGCGGACCGCGGGTGGCACTCCGAGACTTGATGCTACGTACCCCGGCCAAGGTCGAAGCTGGGGAGGGGAGGCACCCATGTTCGGATATCCCAGACTTCCCAGAAGTGCCAGACTCTCCCAGTCGCGAAGGAGGTGTGCTCTAGGTATTCGGGGCCTGCTTCTGTGGCTCTGTGGCTCTGCATCCGTAGGACGAAAGGGGGAACGACAAAAGACCCACTTCCTCACGTCATCCCCGCGGTAACATGCAGTTTCCCGACTGCCTCCTCTCACCGGGTCCAATCTGTGGCGGCCAGCTGGAGCAGCTATGAGATTGAGGCCAGGCTATGGCTGAGGTGACTGAGTTGGCACGGCTGACCGGTGGGCATAGGTAGGTACTACCGACAGACAGGCGTGACGGGCTGCATTGGCAAAGCGGAAAGCTCTCCCTACCTGCCCCTCTGGCAAGCCTGCATGTCTGAGACTGGGGATTACCGGGGGATCATGATTCCATCTTGGGAAAGGTGAGGAATCCCTAGGAAGCCTGCTCTCAGTCTCCTCGCCACTATGTACCTAATCTGGGGAGGGGAGCTTCTTACGGCGATGATTTCACCGTGGTTAGTAAACATTACCACCGTGGGCACTCTGCAGCTGCAGGACAAAACGCTGGACTGCCACGCTTGACGCAGTTGGACTTCAGACTCCAGAGCAGAGAAAAACCGCGCAGGAGCCGTCGAAGAATCCGATCCCGAAAGAGAGGCGGCATTTCCAATTGGGATGGGTAATGATGTCGTCCGCCCCCATCTCTTCTCAACGAAAAATAAGCGCCACATTAAGCCGGACTTTTTAGCCAAACGGACTTGAATCTAGCCCACGTTCGAGAGGTGGGTGGGTATGTGGCTAGGCTCGAGCGGCAGCCGTACCTATGGTCGACGGTTACGAGGACGATGGCCGAGAAGGACTACGACGACGGTGGCGCTCTGCGTGGCTAACGGTCTGGTCTTTTGTGAAAGAATCAAGGCTCGGGTGCCACATCAAGGGGGTAGCCTGGCACGACTGGTAGCTAATAGCTGTTAGGCTCCTACAGTCCGTCAACAGCCACGCCTCCTTGATTTGAGGTTTCCCAAAGATAGCAGCAGTGTTTATGCTCGGAAGCCACGCGGGAGGTACACAGCCAGCAGCGTGGAGCAGCAGGATGAGGCATTGACGGGATGGATGACAATGCTATCCAGCCATATCCACAACGTTCAGCCCTCGGTACGATGCGATCCTTGGGTGCTCAATTGCATGTGTACATCAATACCGGAGAAACATGTCCGCTTTTTTGTTGCTGCTTCCAGTCCGCTTTTCCGTTTTGTTTTCAGCCGGGAGAAGCGAGGTCTATTGGCAAAATGTACACTCCGTACTGTGGGTTCGGATGAGGCGGTAGTGGACGGGGGAGAACGAGGTCCCCATATTGTTCAAACAAACAAACACAAGAACGATTACGGAGTACCTCGCGACATGTCATCAACAATAAGAAGAAAACTGGAGATTGCTTTAGAGAAAGTACCTGGCGAGACCGCGAGACTGGCATTGCGGCAGAGACCAACCGGAAAGAAAGAGACATCCATGGGTGAGACATGGGTGATGAAGGTAAGTAGTGTAGGTACCTTCCCGCGGATGCAATGACACCATAGGCCAAGGACTTGGGGCGCTGCAGCGGCGGCGAGGAGGAGATCGACAGGAGGTGGAGAAGAGATTAGAGGGATATGATTCGTCAAAGCTCGCTATTCCCGCGTTCTAACGGGATCCACACTGGAGAAACCACCGACCGCCAAAGTCCCGTCGACCTCGGATACGGGTACGTACTGTGTTACTAATGAATACCTCTCTCCAACGTGGACCACCGAACAAAGATGCAAGGGAAGCGGAAGAAAAGAAAGAGACGGTGACATGGGCGAGAAGGGACAAGCGGTCGTCTAGACAATATTGTTCTCTACCGTTTGTCCATTGGTCCAATGCTCTCAGTTGATTGTCTGCCGTTTCATAGTCTCACGGCAGAACACCACGCCTTGCTTCAATGGAAGCCTGGAAGGACGAGGAGGAGGCACCATGGAACACACCAGAGACCCAGAGGATGAGGCTTGTGTACACAGTATTCGTACGGATACCTATGTGTGAGAGAGAGAGAGCGAGAGAGAGGGCGGAGCTTCGCAGCCAACTTTCGGGTCCCCCGGATCGACATATTTCTTCTCGCTGGGTCCTGTCGAGGCTGCCAGCTGGCGCAGCTGAGAAAGAGCTGAACAGAATCCTGCCCGCCTGTCAATGAGCCAGTGTGAGGTGTGTCCCATCTTTTGGCTCCAAGTCTACAACAAGCCTCTGCCAGCCTGCCAGCTCAAACTCAAAAGTCAAAAACAGAGGAGGCACCTATTTCCAAGGGCTTCTTTGCGTTGTTTGACAGGCAAAAAGACGAGCAGACTTTCTTTCTGCCCATGGAATCTGATCTGCCAAGGATTCTTACGCTTACCCGGAAGCTTGATGCACTGACGGGGGCCAGGCGAGGTCAATGCAGCCCGCCAGGCATCATGCTTTCTCACGGCCTTTTTTTTTTCTTTTCTCCCTCTTTCTCAAATCCTAAACGTGCTGATCTCATATTTCTCTCACGAACCCTTTCCAATTCTACCATCGCATCCGAGAATTGGTTTTCCCTAGCCTGTCGCGCCTGTCTGAAGATGAAATCAGAGTCGCCCGGAGCCTGGACAGAAAGTGGACAGTGTCGCGAAGCCGAATTTCGCGCGGAAGGGGGTAGGCCTTGGTCCTTGGATATGCTCCTCTCTGTTTCGATTTATTGCTATGACGTATGAGTCGCAATGTCCTCCACCCCTGCCTGTCCCACTCGCAGGCTCGCAGCCCATCATCAGCATCACATCCGGAGCCCGGAAGAATTATGCAAGATGAGACGGGACGGAGCAAAAACAGTCATTTCCCATCGCTTCGGTTTTGGACTCTCATGCCAGCTCACACCTTTGGAGCTTGGTATGGCTTCGCCCTGGTCTGTTAGACCATGGAGAAGACGGGGGGAGGGGGTTGCGGGGAGCTCCTTGTTTGGGGTTCCGGCCGTTGGTAATTTGGCTACATAGCCTCTAGCCTCTAGACTCTAGAGAGGTTCTAGGTAGGGGGTAGTTATGAGTCTCGACCGTTTACTGGGTGGATGAATTTGAGAATCTAAGCGTGATTGCGTGCGTGGAAGGTCACAAGTGTGGTTGTCTCGAACGGTCAAAGCTCCCATCAAGCCGTGTTCCAAGTTCCATGGCAGAACCCTCGTTCTTTTGAAGTTTGGTCTTCCCGCGAATCTCGACGGTGCCAAACGCTTGGCGACAGCCGCGCCAATGCTTTTAACGGGCTCCTTTTCTCTTTTCATTTCTGCAAAATCATACATCCGCAAGGGGGGGAATTCGAATCTGAAATTCAGATCAGACGGTTATTGTCTGTGGCGTTCTTTCCTGTCCCGTTGACTATTAGATACAGCAATGCAGACGGGAACGAACTCATGCATCTGTCTGCCTGCAAGTTTGTGCACGAACATCCATTTTGATCCCTTCCACAGTCTCGACAATCTGTAACGCACAGACTAGTAAAGTCCCGTGAGCCTTGAGGAGACTTGAGAGGAAGCGTACAGGAAGTGAAGTATGGGAACTGAGGGGGGCCGTCACGGCGTGGTTCCCGAACCTCAAGCAGCAGCAGATTTCTGGCCCCTAGGCATAGAGAGGAAGAGCGAAGAGGATCAAATTGCGTCACAGGATACCAACGTCCAAGGATAGAACTAGGTACCTACCGTTCGTTTCAAAAACCCCTACCCGTCCTGTTGGTGACGGCGCCGTCGCCGCTTTTCATTCGAAAGTTCGGATTAAGGTGAGGTCAATGCAGAAGGTTTCCCCCTTCCTCTTGCCCACGGCAATCAGGCCAGAAAGTCAATCTACGAACCGGACAACCCTCCCAGGCTCTCACACCTCGTTTATTCTACCGTCTGCGTGCTTGAAACTTGTCCCTACTTTCTTGAGGTGGCACAAGCCTTACGCGTTTGAATGTTGACCACCTATTGTAGGTTCCAGGGACCAAAAAGATGAACCTCGAAAATCCTCAAAAGAGAAGGGGCAAATGCTCTTGGGAATGTGAACCGACTCATAATCGTGTGGCCTCCCTACTCGTGTCTCGCGGACGGGTGTTGTACGACCTACCTTACCTCACGCATCCCTTTAGACACGTGAGACCCCGTCAAGAATGAGAGATGGTCGAGCTCCAAAAGCTTCGAAACTTCATCCTCAGTACCCGCTATCTCTCCCTCCCTGTCTATGCCTGCTACCACGCTGCCTCGCCGATGTTGTGCTGCTTTCGCATGTGCAAAACAGGGCAAAACAGCAAAAGTGCGCTATGGCACTGGCACCTCGGTCGCACAGAAATCAATGGAGCTTCGCCTTATCAATGGAACCGTTCCACTGAACAGAGCACGGGATATCTGTACATCATCAAAACTTTTGGGGATTTCTCCATCCTCGGGCGATTGCACCATGGATTCTGCCGGACGAATTGAGCATTGTCCGACCGTTCGTTCCCCAGTGGCGTAAAGCAATTACACAGGCATAACAATAAGCATACGTCGTACGCGCCTCGCCTGGGAGACTACCGCCAATTAGGATTCGGAGGCTTTTATGTCAGCCCGACAAACAGAGCGAGCAGGCAGAAGAAGCAGATGAGCACATGATGAAGCATCCAGCCTCGACGCGGTCGCCTGTCCGCCGT